GCCGCCGCCTTCACTACCCAGCAGACAAAAGCGAGGGCCGGCCGGGGGGGGCTGCTTTCGGGTGAAAGGGACGAAGTGCTTTTCCTCGACTTTCAGTTTCGCCACGGCGGCGGGAGATTAAGCGAATTCGCCCCGAAGGCTCCCAAGACAACAGAGGCCGAGTTCAGAAAGCGCATTTTAAAAACGATTTTTGGGGGAGGGGGGGCGAGTGTTTTTCCCATGGCACACCTCACACTATGTCACGGCACACTAGTGTGCCACGGCACAGTGGTTGAAAAACACTGCCTTAAGGGATGTTTTAATATGCAAGGCATGTAACAGATGGAGAAGCCTGTGATCAATTTGAAGCAGCTCTTAGCTTCTCCCATAGCTTAGTCTTGGTAACCGTATCAAAAACTGCCTGGAGATCTATAAAGGCTGCATATATTGATACAGATCTATTTGATACATATTTTTTCAATCAAATGTTGGAGAACTAAGGACTAATCTATGGTGTCTCTCCTCTCGGTAAACCCAGCTTGCTCTTAAAAAATCAGGTTCTCAAAATTCAGCAACTCCTTTAATTTATCTTAGAGATGTTTGGCATAGAGTTTGCTGATTATATTCAACAGACTTATTGGACTATAATTGACAGGGTCGTCTGTCTTTCCCTTTTTAAAAATTGGGACAACTGCCAAGGCCCAATTTTCTGAAACATTGCCTTTGGAGTCAATGTAAGTGAAATGCGCTGCTAGGATCGGTATCCATCACTCCATATAGTTTTTTAATAGTTCAGCAAAAATGAAATCAGCTCTTGCAGCCTTCCCACTCCTGAGTTGGCTAGTGAGATTTAATTTCAGACTCTGAAACTGGGGTCACTCAGGTAAATCCTTCATTGTATAACTTATTCTCTCATTGGAACTTCACTTTCATACATTCTCTGAAGGTGAACTTCCCAGGTTGTAGGAGATATATGGGAATCTAATGAGGTATAAATTCGGTCAGAGTGGCAGGCTATTAGATGTCAGGATAGAGAAGAGTTATTTTGCTTTGCTGCCTCAATAAGCTGTTCCCAGGAAGATCTTGTGTCATGTTTCTTCTTAAGTGTAATCAATTGCTTAAATTGTTTTTTGAGTGTGAGGAGATGTTTAAGAGTTGTTTTATTATCATTTCCAGTCTCACTTATATCTTATATGCCAAGGTTAGAACTTCCCTGGCTTCTCCACAATCATTGTCGTGGTTTGGAAGCGATGCTGGACCTCTTAGCCA